GTGGTACGGGGAAAACCGCCAGGTAGAGCTCTCAAGGAGTAGACTCAATACCGAGCAGTGGGAAACAGGTGAAGAGGGTATAAATAGCAGTGCGCACCGCACAGTGAGTGTGCGCAGGTGGATTAACTCGTGCGGCGGCGTTTGTTAATAATCACCCGCTGCTGGGGCTGATTAGCTCGCCTACGATTTGATCTTGACTGCCTGGCGGTCGTGACAATTTGACCTTCATTTTTTTACTTTATAAGTTTGTATTTTACTTATTTTCTGATAGTCAGATTTAATGTTTATTTGAACAAAGTCTTCCAAATTAAGTGCAACAATTTATTACAGTGCAAATTTTAATATTATTGATTACTAATAGTTTATACTCACACCTGACTTTTTTATTTAGATGTACATAAAATATTTAACTAAGTGTGACATAATATTTAGAAATACAATCAAGAATAGTCTGTGGTATTTGAATATATGAAACGTTTCTAAAATGTATTAAAAAATAAAAACATATATAATCTTTTCCACATGTAATGTCATTACATGTCAGCAGCCATATCACCCTGCAACTCACAACTGGCAACCCACTGAAGCTAAGCTAAGAGTAGGGGTGTAACCCCGGCGTCCTGGCGAAATTTCCCATTGGCCCTTACCAATTATGGCCTCCTAATAATCCCCCTCTATGAATTAGTCTGCTCTCCTCCCCACTAATAGCTGGTGTGTGGTGAGCATTCTGGCACACTATGGCTGCTGTAGCATCATCCACGTGGATGCTAAACATTGGTGGTGGTGGAGGGGAGTCCCCATTACCTGCAAACACTTTGAGTGGAGTGTCCAGAAAAGCGTTATGTAAGTGTAAGCAATTATTATTATAATTATTATTATTAGGAAGTACAATAAGCACGTGCTTTGTTTAATGATGGATTCAAATATAAATATAATTGGTGAGAAAGCTATGTTAAATAATAATTTAAAGACTTCAAGTTAACAGAAATGATTTACATTCTATTATTAAATTTTAAAGGCAGACACGCCCAGTGCCATAAGCACTCCAAGCTGCAGAACGGTCTATGAGTATTATTAAACCTTCTCTCAGTGCAGTCTCTCCAATAACGGCGTCACACTACATTACTTTTCCTAGGATTTTCAGCAAAATCACAGCAATTTGTAGAGAGTCACAGTGCGCTCCCATTACCATCAGTTGCGCTCTTAATAGCCCCTATGACTCTCTGTGACTTGCTATGATAAAATGAAACTGGTTTGATTTTCTCAAAGCAAGTCTTAAGTTGTAGGTGTGAGCAGTGAGCCAGATGTGTACTTGTGAGATAATGTGCCCATTATATTACAAATTATAGTGCAATACTATTTTGTTTACAAAATATTAATTTTGTTTTTAAAGGTGTTTAAATGTGATTTATTTTTTGTAAATTTGTTCTATATTTATGAAGAATAATGTTTGAAAATGTTTGTTTGTGGAAAACAATGCCTGTGTTACATTTTTTTAGATGTTTACATGCTTGTTCTCCATGTTGTTTGTTTTGTGCCATGCTCCTCTTGTGCTCCACATTGATTGGCTGCCAAAATGAGGCTACCTCGCGGTACTTTTACGGCGCAATACAAGATTAGGAACCATGATGAAAGGTCATGAGGGAATTGTGTAATTAGTCACCCCTTGAAATTCCTAGTCGATATAACAGTCGTATAACCCTCTAGGACAGAAAAGACAGCAAGATTCAGCAACTCCAGTTGTTAAATTTGACATGCTCTCCGACTAGAAGTTGTGTCGAGTCCTGTAGTGTGACGCTGGTTTGATGGAGATCAGCGGGTGATGTGCTGTTTGCTCAGTGACCTGCTGATTACTTCACACCACAAGAAGAGAGGAGAATTAATGAGATTTTATCTGTACAATATGCATTTTTTATTTATGAAATCAAAGTGTTTAAAATGTTTAATTAAAAAGTAAAAAACTTGCAGTTTACACAAAGATTCTAAGCTGATCACAAAGAAGAAAAAAACACCCATTTTCTGTGCATAAAAAATGTTAATAACTATTTAAATCCATAAATGACAATCTAAACCCATTTTATTAGTGTATTTTAAAGTCATGCAATGTCTAATTAAGGCATTGACAAGCTATTGTTTCTTATTATTAGTTTACTTTAAAATTAAAAGAATCAGTTGCCCATTGTGCACTACAATATTGTTACATTTGTATGTTTTTGAGAGTCTTCAGAACACTTTGACTGATGAATAAAAATGTAGCATAATGCTAAATTATTTTATACCAGGGATCCGCTTTATTCAAACTAAGGTTTGTAAAAATGCAACCAGGAACTAGACATTGTTTAAATAAAAGCTGTGAAAATCTTCACAAATCACGATCTTTAAAAATTCCCTGATTTGAAGGCTCTGTATCATTTGTTGGTTGAGTCATTAACATCGGAAGCATCCCATCTCAAAAATAGGAGTATTAATAAGAAATCGAAGGTTGCGAAAACAGAGACAAATGACCCTGAACAAAATACAAACAGTTTGAAATTGTTATTATCAATAATTTAATATTGTGATCAGATACATTATTATAGTTCGGTTTCGGTTTTTAATACCACTTTGTTATTCTCAATTATATTTATAATATATACTATTTCGTTTTAAGGCTTGTTGTAAAGGCTTGTCTTGATTTGCCCCATTGGGATGCAGTATTTTTAATTGAATTGAATTAAACCGGTTGAACATTTTTTTGCTTCCACTGTTGACCATATTCACACTTGATGATTCATATTTTCAATGTATTTATTGAAGACGTTGTGATTTTTATAAAATAAAATGTTAATATATTGTACATAATACATTTTTTTAAATGGTGTTTTTGTTGCAAGAAAAACATGTGCCTTGAATGGGATTCAAATCCGGATCTCCTGGTTGAAAGGCAAGCACTTAATCCTCTATACCAAAATGTCAGTTGGAGTGAACGCTGAAACAGGTTGAAATGTTTCCAACATAATCACGAGTGAATGAGTCAAAGAAGTTGATGCAGATGTTTAAAAAGAAAGGGGAATACGATAATACTTTGAGTTATATAAGTATAATTAAATCCTTAAATATCATTATTAATTTCTTTAGATATTCAATTCCTTATTATATTCCCTATTTATGAAGAAAGTGGAATACTGTTGTGTATTTTTATTTAAACTACCAATACCAGTCATATACAGCTTGTTAATATATGTATATATTCCTAAATTAATATTGTTTATGACCTTCAGAGACATTACGCTCCTCATATTTTTATGCTCAGCTATTTTTATGCTTTGCACAGCAAAGAGAAGCCATCATTTCAGTTACAATTAATGATCCACTAGTGCCACTTGTTGGTCATTTTGGCCCGCTAATCACATACAGCGGTAGGCTATAGATGTTTTCCCATGGTACAGGGTTTTACCACACGTTTTGAATGGCTACATCTGAAATATACTGTAAAACAATTTACAGTATGTCAAATTAATTAATTTTATGAGATTGTAAACAACCTTGTGTGAATTCTTTCATAATTTATTTTGAGCATAATAAAGATTAGATCTGTTTAAAATACTTCAATAATATTTTATCTAAATTGAACTCTTCTTTTTATGAGTTATGTGTCTGATGGATACATGTAATGGCTCAGCTTTGAGATGATGTCAGGTAAGCATTTTCCAAGTGATATAAAAAGTTTAATATTACACCTAAAGTTACTTGAAATCATATAAACACTAGACTCAGCAAATATTCTATGTGAATGGTACTTCCATATTTGTTTTAATTTTTTTTACCTATATTGTAAATTACTGTTTTGATGTTGTTGTTTTTTTTCCAGCTTCTAGGAAAATTGGCCCTAGTGTGAGTGTAAGTGTCCTGTAATGGATTGCCATCCCATCTAGAGTGTCACCCATCTTGTGTCCATTGCTTTCTGGGATAGGTTCAAGGTCCTCTGCAAACTTAAATTGGACTAAGTGGTTACAAAATGGATGGATGTTTTTCTTCTCGGTAGGGAGTACTAAACAATGGTCTTAACTTCAAATATCAGTGATATGTCTATCCAAGATGCCGGTCATCCTGTATCATGTAATACTGCTTATTTCAAATTTGGAGTTGAAGTTTTAGAAATATCTATTTCAGACTAAAGCAAAAGGAAAATTGTTAGTTTTAACATGTTATTTTTTAATTCGCAAAGACAAAAATGACAAGCAATTTATTTACAGAAAACTGTACAAAAGCAAATTAAATTATGTAAAATAATTCATAAATAGAGGTGGACTTGCGTTCAATACATTTTGTTGTGTTTAGCATAGCTTCGTGCATAGTGATTCATAATAAACAATGATAAATTGTTCCTTGTTTCAATATCAACATCCAAGTCGCAGAACAATAGCTCATGATTAATATTACAAACAGATCTCATCATACTAAAAGTGAGTGCTTTAAGTCTTAAGAACAGCCAGCTGAAAATATACCCCACGTAGGAGGAAAGTATTCCCTTAATGAATTAGATTCAACTTTCATTCTGATATACTGTAGTAAATTTAATCAAAATCTTTTTTTTTTCTTTTGACATCACTGGAACCTACCTAGTAGAATTTTGTATAGTGTTTCTACTTTGCCCATCTTATCCTATTATTAGTTACTGTATGTTGTATATTGCTTTGGTAAAGGTGAAATGAAAACTTATCAAACTTTTTTTCTCAAAAGTACATTTGAATTATATCTTACCTCCTTGATTAATGATGCAAAAAAAGGTAATTTTCCTACATTTAATTCTGTACTAAATTAGAATTTTAAGCAGATCTTCACTAAGAAATGAACATGACCTCTAAACTCGTTGAATCCACAGTATAAGAATTGTATACTATATTGTATGAAAACATGAGATTTGAATCATGTTTATCATGCATACTAAACAACATTTTAGCACTACCTTCAATCTGTTACAGTATTTTGGACTGTTCTAAATAGAATGGGTATTCTTGCTTAACATCTGAGGTTGTCATTCAGACTGCACCTGCTTAGGTTTTCATCAATCCCTGGTTTAACTTTCAAATGATAATTACCTACTCATCTGAACAGTCAAAAGTCTTCAAGGGTCTTACAGAAATATACAAATCTGTAAGCACTACATGCAAAAATGTCAACAGATTAGAGATTTACACACAGAAGTTATTGAAGGTGTAGGTCATATATTTGCAAATGCTATTTTCTGGAAAAAATTTGCATAACTAACATGGAATTGCCTGACAAGTTTTCAGAGATGCTCTTGTTTCTTTTTCAAGATGTTTATACTCTTGACACATATTTTATCCATAATACAAAACTTGACTGGTCTTACAGCTGAAATGCCAGAAAAATGTGATTTTCTCACTAATATTGTATTCAACCTACAGCTAAATACAATCCCAGCATATGATAAATCCCTGCACCTCATTATTCTTATTTTTTTCCATTTCTAACCAATATCATATTACACCAGTTGGTATAAGAAGGCACAATTGCATATTTTGCATTCACTCTATTTTTTATAGAAGCACTCGAAATATACAAGTGGATCCAGAAAAAAAGACTGCAATCATTAAAATGAAAGCAATAAATGGAAACATAAGTGCCATGCCAGTACAAAGATGCAATATGTTTCAATGTATTAAGAAAGCCAGACTTTTACATGTAACATACCTTTCAGTAGATACATATCACCATAATTATAATTTCTGAATGAGAAAACTACATAGAAATAAAAAAGTTCTCTCCTAGAAAAAATATGTCCATGGTAGTGAGAGTTGATGTATTCACTTATATTTTTATTGTCTTTAAGCTGGTATGCTAAATAAGACTACATGGCTAAAGTTTGTTTAGATATAACAAAAGCAAGCAACATAATGGACTTCCTTGTTCACAGATAAAGAAAAGTTTTTTTTTTTATTATTTTTGTATTTTCCTTCGAAGTAAGTAATTTCCCTTTAAACGTGCAATAAAAATACATATTTATGTATACAGTTTATAAGCTTTTTAGTAGCACTTCTTTGAACAAGTACTTACAGACTACAGAATGATGTACTTCGAAAGCAGTTGATTAACAAAGGATTATTTTCGTTGTAATCTGACAACATACAAAATTTTCAACTGCAAACTGTTTTTAGTTTTTTTCAATACTTGTGCCCTTTTACTGAATCCAGAATAACAGCTACCATGTAATACTATACAGCACATGTAATAAATAAAGGGGCATTTATAGAGGTTAAAATTAAAAAAAAAGTTGCAATACATATGGAACTTACTGATCAATCAACCTATACTTTGACTATACATTTACACATATGCATGTACAAAAAGCAACAAACTACCAAAAGCTATTTGTTTCTGTCTAAAACTTATCAGAAAATCATTATATAACTTCATGCCAGCTTTATTTTTCCAAAACTTTGGTTTATTTTAGACCCCATTTTCTTGGTTTGTAACTCTCAAAAGACAAGTTGTTCATTTTACTCCATTGAGATGTACTATATTCTTTATCCTTGTCTTTATGCTTGTCAAAAATGCAACAGCTCATGTATTTATGTGATACGTATATGTAAACACATATACTCACTGTAGCATGGACAATATTGCAATTAGGGCATAAGCTAACCATATTACTTGTGTTTTGCTGCTTATGTACTTTTACATGCTTCAAAGATAATATTCTGTAACCTGAAATCCATCTAAAATGCCATTCTAAATCTCAAAAACCCATTCTAAATATTGCATCAACATTAACTGTATATCCTGTATGTTGCTTGTTAATTTACTCAGCAAATGTTCACAACAGAGTCATGTACATCCATCTTCAATATTTGTCTTCATGCAGCCTGCAAAATTGCATGTTATATTTTTCTTTTGTCATCCTATTTGTATTAAACATTAGGATTCTCTTGTTTGATTGTACCAGACAGAAACATAAGTTCCCACAGGGTCTCAATTCTGCAGTATTTTTGTTACTGAAGATGATATGTACAACCACATATATACATATTTACGCAATTCAAGCAAAGACTGGCAAACATTGATTGATCATGGCTCATAAGCTTGCATCTTCTTGAAATTTCTCCTGGTTTTCTAGTTTAATAAAATCCGAAGAACTGCTGTTGTGAGTTGAAAGCCTGAGTGTGTTTGTATGAAGGTGTGTGTTGTGCATAGTATATGTACAGTAGGGAAAATGGACCTAGCAGAGGAAATTGCTACCAAGAAACATTAAAAACCAGGGAATCAAGAATTTCATTGAATATCCAATTGTCAAGTATCATTTCTTATAGATGACATTTAAAAATATTGTCATTATTGTCTAAGCCTTAGGGCAAAATATTAAAGCTCTGTCTTCCCAAAGTTTACATTTAAAGTGATAGTGTAGTAATGAAGATGTCATGCTTTTTTCCATTGTTTTGTGATGTATCATCCTTGTCAGGGTTGCAGCTGATATGCTGATATGCCTAAGACAAAATTGAATTAATTTTACTGACCGTCAGTTTCATCGGGCTCAGTGGCATACTGTACTACCAAACCACAGTTGACTCTTATCGCTTTCAATGTTGTGCCGTATTTCTCTAAATCAGTCTCATTTCCCGTTAAATTGATTTGCAACCATCAATTTACAATACAATCTTTGATGGAGATTAAGCATGCAAGTTATGAAAATGAATTTTACATTGTACAATAAAATCAGGCAGCAAATATTTAAAGGCCTGATTTGCCAGTATCACTCTTATTATTAGCCTTCTCTTTCTAACTGTTGTATTTCTTTAAATAATTTGCATCATTTATGTTGGAATTTTGAGTTTTCGTTTGTTTTACCTTAAACATACAGGTGATCACAAATAAACAATATTACAGGTACACTTCTCGTCGAGTGAGTGTATTAACAGGAGATGGTTTGTACTCCCCTGTTTGAGTAAGAGGTATATCCTCAGGGTTGGCATCCTCATTTTTACCAAAGGTTGCACTACTGAAGGTCTCATAAGATGATGTCATCTTTTTGTTCAGCAAATTTCTGTTGCGATCACCCATGAGTGGGGGGTCTCCATTAGCAATCTTCTCCTGGCTTCCCTGTTCAGTGCTGGGCATGAAAGTAGAGAGTTTTGGCTGATTCTTCTGTCTTCTTTCTGGTGACATTCGCACAGGCATCCAGCAGGAATCAGAGTGGCCATATTCATCACATTCCCTGGTGCATTTGCCGGTCATGGCTACATCTGGTAGTGGCCTTGAATCTGTGAAATAAATATTACAGCATTTTATTAATGCTTTTGCTGTTCTTTGAAGCTTTTTAATCCAATCTCTTGATGAAAAATATTTTAAAATAGCACATGTTATTACATGCATTGGGAGAAGAGGAACATTGTCTGAAAAGTTAAAGTACCATGGCAGAAAAATGTTTAATTACTATTTCTTGTATGCATTAATACATATTCAATAAAGTTATCTATGTTTCAAGAGTAAATGTCTAGAAGACATTTGAATATTTCAGATATTAATTTTGTACTTAGAAACATAAATTGTTCATTTCAGCTGTAAATTCAAAAGCAAACATTAAATGCTCTTGTTTTTTGCGTGATCATAAGTAAATTTATTACTATCATACAGTATGTAAAAACAAAAGCATATGCAACTAATGTATATATACTAATATAAATTTGTGATGGCATAGCTAATGGAATTCCATGCTTAAAATAGGGGCAATTTTGTCAGAAATTGTGTACTTTAAAAATATAAATTAATTTAAAAATAATATCTGTAATGAAAAGTTAGCTGTGATATTAATGCAGTGGGTTACAAAATTGAAGTAAAATAATCTAGTGAAATATGTGCTTTCCTATCACACTTGATTAAGCATTTGTCTTGTTTTTTTTTTTTAAAAATAATGGATCAGCAAAGATTTCAGTTGCGATTTTATCACTTTAACTTAAATGCAGTCTTAAATATGCAATGTTAGAACATTAGATTAATTTTAAAAGGTTGCAATCTGGCTCAGTGGCTAAGATGTTTGCAGAACATGTAAATTTACATAATACGTAAGTTGTAATAAGGTGGAAGGGGAAATAAGAAGAAAAATAATTGAATATATTGAGTATTAATGTTCCAAATTTGAAATAGCAATGTGCATCTCAATCTAGAAACTACCATATATTAAATGTAAAAAAAGCTGCCTGTTTGCAGCTAATAATGCACAATACTTTATTCCTGAGACACATTTCAAAGGTAATACCCTATGATGCATGAAGCACAAAAGAGTGAGGAAGAGAATCAGGATAGGATTTGCAAATATAAAGCAAACATATTGCTGTTATTGTTTTTGCTGTAATATTTCATAAGTAAAACAAATGATAGTGTTTGTGTACAGTATTTCAGTGCACTTTTGTAGATCTACAAATTGATATATAGACAATTCATATTTAAAAAATATTCCAATAAATATAAAATTAGAAATTATTGCTATTATACATGGCACTTCTGAGAAGCATAATTGCTCGTTATTATTATCAATACAAGACTTGTCAAGACATGTCAAGACATGTACAATACCAATATAAATCATTGAGGTTCTATTTTATTTATCTAACTAGATTACGTCAACACATGATTACCTTATATACAGGGAATACTATGGGTTACCACTTTTCTTAACATTTCTCTTATGTTTTAATTTAAATGACTAATAGTAAAACATTTTCTGCACCTACATTGTGAAATTTTCTTACCTTGGCATAAGTAAAAGTTCCTTCTAAAGGCCTTTTAAAGTTATATAATAAATACAGTGACCTACAGTAAACTAACCTTAGTTATTGAGTTTTTCACCTGTAACTCAACATTTATTGTCATTGCTTGTGATTTTAAATTCATGCTGTTATGTTATGTTTCGCTTTCTTTTTTCTCTTAACTCTGGCACTAACATGTTTTCCCTCCACACTACCTATCTATAGCTCCAAGACTTAATAGATTGTCCTTTGAATGATCTCATTATCTTCTGTGTTGTGCAGTTCTATTTCTTTTTTGAAATTAGCACATAGAGATTATAATGTTGATTATTTTATTATTGACACAATAATGTGCAATGTCTTGATATCATGAAAAAGTATTTTCCTGCCATATATATTTTAACATGACCTTTAAAGATGCTGTCAAAAGACTTCACTCCAAAATAAAATAAGTAATAATATACAAGATTATGGTTTTAATTGAGCCTACACCCTCTTCCAGAGAGATTCCGGAATGGTGAATGCCAAGAAGAGGAATAAAATAAACTGTTAATTTAATGTAATTTTTTAGCGCTAAAATATTGTCTCTTAACAGTTTTTCTGAACTGATTCTGAAATTATGAACTGAAATTGTTCATATCATCTAAAATATAACATACCACAATTATACTACAGGGTTGTATAGCCTGTAGAACAGGATCCAGGAACAAGATACCAACTCTCTTGTTAGTTTTGAGCATTAAAATAAGTGAAACATAATATCTCTGAACGTCATAAACTACATTAATTTGGGAATATAAATATATTCTCAAACTATAAATGGCTGGTAGTTGTAGTTACACACCAGTATTCCACTTTTTTCATAAACATTTTAAGCATTTACGTCTTTCATTCGTGTCACGACCACCAGCCAGCGGAGATCAACACGTAAGCGAGCCAATCAGCACCAGCAGCGGATTACTTCTAACAAGCGCCGCCGCACGAGTTAACACACCTGCAATTGCTCTACCGTGCGGCACGCCGGGTTATTTATACCATTCGTACCTGATTCCCGTTGCTTGGTATTGAGTTCTCTTCTTGTTGCTCAGCCTAGCGTTCTCACCCCTCTTTTGCCTTCCTGGAATTCTGCCTGCACCTTTTGCCTTCGGACTTCAGATCTCATCTCGCCCTTTGGATTGTTTGCTATCATTGCCTGTTTTGGATTTGACCCTGTAGCTCTCTTTTCGACTACGATTCTGTCTCACGTTCTGGATAGTTCGCCACCAGTGCCTTTACCGGATCTCGACTTACCTTCGCCTTCGGACTACGGCTCAGCTCCTGGATTTGCTCGGTACACTTACTTACCTCCCTGCGACTCCTGCATCTGCATCGGATCCTTTTCACCTCTACAGAGCATCGTTACAATTCGGTTGCATACTGTGGTTATTTTGGAAAAGTTTTTATGTGCTCCTTCTGACTATATTAGGTTTATACAGACCTATATTAGGTCATAATAGACCTATATTAATACAACCTCTATTAGGTTTATACAACTCATCAATTTCCCTTCAGGATCAATAAAGTCTTATCTATCTATACAGATGCAGCCATTCAAAATGCATGGTAAAAACCCGTACCACACGCAACTACCTACAAACCACCATGGCGCACCGCGGTAAGTGATTGGCTGGCCAAAATGACCAACATGGTGCATTGGTCATGGTGACTCATGGTGCATTGGTCAGTAGTGAAAAGATTTAATCATTTAATCTCTTTACTGTGCACATTTTAATCCACTTAGTATAGAATATTTATATGGATTTTATAACTAAAGGGGAATTTTAGTAGCTGAGCATTAAAAGAAGAGGAGCATAATGCATCTGAAGGTCATAAACGACATTAATTTAGGAACATAAACATATTATGTAAACTGTATATTGCTGGTATTGGTAGTTTAAAGAAAAAAAAATACACACCAGTATTCCATTTCTCCCTAAACATTTTAAGCATCAAAGTCTTGCATCTTACATGTGAAATACATGTATTTCAGAAACGTTTTTACGTGCTCCTTCTGACCATATGACTGACTTATAAGTGTGAGGTTGTGTGTTCAAATCCAGCAGTTGCTATGAGTTTTCTTTTAACAAATAAACATTTCTTTGAAAAACAAAAGTAGCAAATATTATGGACACTATAATGACATTTCTTATATTTCTAAATATCAAAACATGTTCGTACTGTATGTACACAGCGGTACCGTAGGGTGTAGGGTGCAAACCCACGTGAGCCTGAAGTGCTACATCATTAATACAGTAATATCTTCCGTGTTGCATTAACAAGTTTAAAAGGAAGAGACACTTTACACTTTAACTCTTCAGTTCACAGAGAAATTTCACCAGAGCCTCACAACATTGTCCAATAATACTCTTCTTGCGTCTAATTTTTAGTTTAGCAGGATTCAAGCAGGATTTCATATGAAAAGCAGTGATGTCACCGCACTGGCCAGCCCAAGTCAAAGTTTAACCCGTTCAGAGCCTACATAACATTTTAGCGTTTCATTTTGAGCTGAAGACCCTCACACCTGAAGAAGGCTTCACAGCCGAAACGTTGTATTTTCTCTCTTCTCTTTTCAGCATGGAATAAACCTATTACTTGATCCTATGCAGACTACGCAGGCTGAAGTAGTGTTGTACAGTGATAATAGACATGGGTAATGTCATCCCCATTAAACAATGTGCTTATCCCGGAAATCCTGCTAAACTAAAAGTGTGTATTGTCTGTTTAGGGTTCTGTAGCATTCCAGTTTATGTTGTGTTTGTACTTGCAAGAATACTGTTGATCCAAAACACACAGCAGCAAAGGCAATGCTTAAAGCAGAGGGAGTGAACTGGGTGAAAACTCCAGCTGAATCCCCAGATTTAAATCCAATAAAGATGGTATGGCATTCCCTGAAAGACTATATTCAGAAAAAGGCTATACCTAGCACAGAGCAAGAACTGATCTATGTGATTTACAAGTTCTGGGAGGAAGAACTGACAGAACAAAATTGCAACAATTTTATTAACAGGCTGTTTCGTGTTCTTCCTAAGATTGTTGAGTGGAAGGCGGGGGCATTCGGGAATGTGTGTTCTGTGACTCAGATTATAAATGAATAAAAATGTGTTTGCAATTTTAATCAAGATGGGGTTAATGGGGACTCTCTATTATATTGTAGCACATTCACCTTGCACTGTGGCTGAAGAGCGCCCGGCTAGGGAACGCCCCGAGGGGCAGGACGGGAGTAGTAGTGGTGAGGGCGGGGACTAGGAGAGCCGCTGACCCACTGCAAAATGGTCGTACAGTTTGGTGAGATCGCTCCTGTTATACTTGTACCCAATTGCCACCCTATCCCTATGTAGCTACCCAAATAGACCCCTGTGTGTTGCTCTCTCTCTTGGAATATGGAACCGCTTATCTAAAGAAATTAATAACGCTATTAATTTAAGGATCTAAATATATGTATCTATATAGTTGGTAGTATTAAAGTATTCCACTTT